TTTTTCGTATTTTTCTTTTTTAGAATATCTTGCAGTATTCCCTGTAGAGTTGAATTGGTGGTTGAATATTCCCCTAGTTCCTCTTTATCCTGGAAGCACCTTGTTTTTCCATCAATTTCCAGGGATAGTTGTGCAGAATATATCAATCTTGGCTGGAGATTATTATCTTTCAAAGCTTGAATTATTTCTCCTCACGCGCTTCATGATTTGATGGTTTGTGCCGAGAAGTCTGCTGTAATTCTGATGGGTGTTCCCTTGTAAGTGATCTGTTTCTTGTCTCTGATGGCTTTTAGTATTCTGTTCTTGTATTGGATTTCTGGAATTTTAATTATTATATGCCTGGGTGTTGCTCTGTTTGGGTTGTAGGTGGCTGGGGTCCTGTATGCTTCATACCACTGAGTATCTTTACCTTTTGCTAAATTAGGAAAATTCTCCTGGATTGTTTCTGTGAGTACCTTTTGTAGTTCATTTGTTTGTGTCCCTACTTCTTCTTTTATGTTCTTAATTCTTAAGTGATAAACCCTCTTATCATCTTCTAGTCTTTATATTATTGCTGTTTGTTTCTTTGTTATTTTTAAGAAGTTTTTCATTTCATGCTCCCATATTACAAATCTGCCCTCCAGTTCAGATAATCTGTCCTTAGTTTCTTTCAAGCTGTTATGCCAGTTTTCGATAGACTTTTTAGTTTCCTGGTAGTCTCTTTGAATCTGCTTCACGTATTCTATGCTGTCTCTATTTTCTCCATTAAACAATTCTCCCCTCTTTTTCTGTTCTTCCATTCTACCATCTGTTTTTTCTTGGGTGGTGCTTAGCATTTCTCTAACTATTCTGCTTATGTCTAGCTTCAGGTCATTAATAACTTCATTCCTGAACTTGTCTATGAGGCTCTCGAGATAGCGCTTTATGTCTATTGGTGCTGTGTCTGCTGTTGTCTCTTTCTCAGGATTGGGGGCCGAGGACCCTTTCTTGTTGCTGCCTCTTCCCATATTCTTTGTTCCTTATATATGTAAGCGTATATAGGAGGCCCAGCTTCCTTCCCTGTCAGCCACAGTCTGATTGAATTGTGCCGGCTAGGTGTTCCCACACACCGCAGCGCACCAGGAAGTTGCAGACCAGGCAGCCTATGCGGGGCCCGCCACTCCAGGTCAATCTACCTTCAGGAGCTGGGACCTGGGCTATGCTAGCCTACTGGGTCTCAGCCAGCAGTGTCACGTGGGCTAGGCTCTGCTCACCAATCCCGCTTGAGAGGGGGATACATGACTGAAGTCACTGCAGCACCCTGTTCCCGCAAGTCTGCCCGGTCCCAGAATGTCCTCTGTTGGAGTCTCCTGGACCGTGGAAGAGTCCCAGTTTTCCCTCACTCACCGGAGGTGGATGCATGGCTCTCGCCCGTCCCACTCTCAACTCCATTCACCGATTCCCGTTCTCAGAGCTTCCGCGTGTCTCTCTCCCTGCCGAGCCGATGCAGACGCAGCGGCGGCAGCGGGAAACCCAAATCGCGGCTTCCAATGACGCGGGCTCCAGCTTCCACACTGAGGCTTTATCTGTTCCTGTTATAGCACCAGGATTGCATTCCCAGTTGGTTTCTCTCAGCCCAGTTCGTTCTTGGGTCACCGGGGCATATCTCCTCTTGCTTATGATTCCTTACTCAGCACCATTCCTGAATTCTAAGCTGGGTGTTTCGGAGAGCCTCCGTAGCTCCTGCTATCTGTCTGCCATGTTCTCCCAGAAGTCCTGAATTGTTATTTTCTGATTTCTTGTTATTTTTAAAAGATCTTTCCTTTTCTGTTCACTAGCTGCAATCTTGTCTTCAAGTTCTGAAATTCTATCTTTACTTTGATTGAGGCAGTTTTTAAAGCTTTCAGTGGAACTTTTGATTTCCTGTATATCTCTTTGCATCTACTTTATGTATTCTGTTTGTTTGTTATATTGTTCATCCAGTGATTTTACCTTTTTATTTAGTTCCTCCAATTTTTAAACTGTCTCTTCTTTAGATATGTTTAACATCTCTTTATTTCTTTTATCATTTCTTCTTTTCCATGGGAGATTATTTCTAGTTTGAATTCCTTTAAAGCTTCCCGGAGTTGCTTCTTTATTTCAGTTGCTATTATGTGTGGTATTTCACGTGTATGGCATATATTTTCTTCTATGTACATAGCTCCTAAGGTTTCTTGGGATGGGCTGGAGATTTGAGATTGTAATTTGGTCTTTCGTTTTACCATTTTCCTATGTTTCTGTGTTTCAAGTGTTATTCCAAGGCTTCTCTAGGGTCTGTTGGAAACCTTCTTCTATGGCCTCAGCTCCTGGGACTCTGGGCACCCAGTGTCCCGGATTGAGAGAGGGTCACTGTGGGTGGGGCAAGCCAGCGCAAGACCCATCAGGCTGGTCCAGTGCAACAGGAAGCCATGAAGTTCCCTCTCCGGGGTCGAGCGAGGATCCCAAACTAGCTGGGCACAGGGGATAGTGTGGGGACACTCACCCCAGGTCACCCAACCTCTGGAATGGATGGTTCTTGCAGGCCCAGAACTCCAGAGTCTGCCAAGCCTGGCTGGCGAGACCTGTTCCAGTGGGTTCAAGACCCCCCCCCCCCGCCAGCTGGTCCAGTGCATCAGGAAGCTGCGAAATTCCCTGTCCAGGGCAAGAACATTATTTTGTACAAACAGTATCATCTTTGCTCTACCTACTTGTTTGTGAAATGACTACATTCCCACCTGCCTGCAGGTTCACTTATTTTTACAGTAAGGAAAGAGAAGACTTTCATCACTAAGCCCTAGCTGTGATAGGAAGCATTACTCTTGGTGCCACAGACTCAGATTTATATCTTGGTCCTTTCCTTTCCCAGCTCTGTGTCTTCAACAAGATAATTTCTCAACCTCAGTTACCTGTAAAATAGAATTATCTAAGCCAGTCTTTCCAATTTATGATTCAAACTGGAATACATTTGAGAGTGAAGAGCATTAAAGAAAAAACAGCTAGACAGTAGTTGAAGTGGTGAAAACAAATTTTGTGCAGGAATGATTTCAACTAGAAGAGAAGAAACTTCAGTACAAGATTGGTCTCAGTTCTGAATTCAGCATAGCCAAGGAACAGAGTAGATAAGTGTCATTGGATGAAAAATTACTAAGAGGTACTGCGGGGACATAGGGGATTCTGGTTGCTTAGATCCCAAGGGTGGGTAAGAAATTTGACTAGATATCCAGGGTGATCAGATATCTCACGTGGAGCTGGCTGTACACTGACAGTGGGATTCTCGTTATAGCTGGGTGATCAGGGCCTAAAAATCAGTTCTTTCAAGGGCTCAGAGTGGCCATGCTAGAGCTGAGACAGAGACAGAGACTTTATCAAGGAGGTTATTTAAAAACTATTGCCGTCACAGAAGAGGCAAGAAGTTCTACTAAGTAATGCAAGGGCCATTACATACTAGGGTAAGCATAAGTAACTCTAGTGCATGCACATTTCAGGAAGCTGGAAGCAGAGACTGTGAGATTTTCACTGTAAAGAAATCACTAAACCTGGAGGAGACAGATAATATTGTACAATATATACATGTATTGAGATGGCACATGTTACTTATTAATGTCTAATTTGTATGTTTTTATGTACCAGTTAAAATCTATTTTAAATAAAAATCATTACCACTATATAATGATTTGATATTTCCATATGGATTGATCTTTATTTTATTTATTTATTTATTTATTTATTTATTTATTTATTTAGTCTTGTTGAGACAGGGTCTTACTATGCAGTTCAGGCTTGCCTTGTGTTCACCTTGCAGCCCTCGCCTAGAATTTGCAACCATTTTTATGCCTCAGCCTCTTGAAGGCTGGTATTATGGGTGTACACCACCATGCCCTGCTTGATGTCTTTATTTTTAAGAAATATTTTGGCTTGCTTTCATGTAAATAGTTCATTAAAAAATGACTTTTGCTAAAACTATTTGGGATGCTGGGATGGCAAGCGTATATCAGGTAGTATTGTAAAAGATCAAACAAAAAGCCACATGAGATTTTTAGCATTATGTCTAGATACACAATGAATACACTCTTTTTCTTTCATGGGGAAAGGTTGAAAAAAAGCAGCTCTAACCAACAACAAACAAGCTTTCTTATGTGCTTTATTATAAAATCAGCCACAAGAAGTGTGTGCTGCTAGCTCTCCAGGTTCTGATACCTTAGGCTATGAGCTGTCATGTTCAACTCCAACAGGAAGATACAATCAAAGAATATGGTCCTGCCCTGTGCTGGGCAACTGTCAGTATAGAGAACATATCCAGGGTGGATATGGATTTGGATGGTAATTTGGCTGCATGAGCATGGAACTCTTCTCTTGCAAATTCACTGCTTCTTCTGGGCAACTTGCCTGGAAGGGTCTGGAACTGGCCATGGCACCTTCTTCTAAACCCAGCTCCAGCAACTTAAGGTCCTGATTTTAGCCATTGTGCTTAAATATTAGGTATATCATAAACTTAATAGTTTGAGCTAGGGGCTGGGGATTTAGCTCAGCGGCATAAGCGCCTGCCTTGTAAGCAGGCAGTTGTGAGTTCGATCCCTGGTACCGATAAAAACGAAAAAGACAAAAAAAAAAAAAATAGTTTGAGCTAGAAAGTACATACATGCTTTGAAAGTTGACATCTCTAGGTAGCCAGCAGCTTAACTGCTATTCTATGATTGGGTTTCCAGGGTTGGGCACGTGCCTTTCAGAAACTCTAAATTTATTACTGCTCTTCCTGTCTCTTATAAGTGCTCTTTTGCTGTAGTAATGGGAACTCTTTAGCCTGTGTTCATTCTACTTAAAGCCCTGTAGAGTGGAGGCTTGGGTTTTTGCCAACTCCTAGTGTGACAGAGAATCCAAGGAGTGGTTGATCTACAGCCTCCTGGAGGAAGGGCAGAGTCTGTTTGCTGGAAATAATGCTGTGTATGGGAAGATGGAGCGCAGGAGCTGGGTGGGGCTGCAGGTGCTTTCCTCAGCATGACTCTTACAACCTCTTCTTTCTCCAGGTACGTGTACATTCCACTGGGTGGGTCTCAGCGTGGCCTACTGGGGACTCTGCTTTCCACTGCGATGACGTTTGCATTTGTGAGCTACTGGCATGGCGGCTACAACTACCTCTGGTGCTGGGCAGCACTCAACTGGCTGGGAGTCACAGTGGAGAACGGGTTCCGGAGGCTCCTGGACACGCCCTGTGTACGGGATGGCTTGGTGAGCAGGATCCTTGCTTATGTGACCAGGGATGGCTGAACTAGGAGGCCTATATTTGGGAGGGATTGGTGGGAGCATGGGCCTCTCCTGCCATAATGGTTCAAAGTTCATGAGTCTAGAAGCAGAACAGTTAGAAGAGAAACTTTTCAGGTCATCGTTTTAATGATAATGAATGAATATGTAACTATAAAAGCCATGCATGTTTATCATATACAATTACAAAATTCAGGTAAATGAAACAAGGCATTAACAGAAATGCTAATGGCCATTTTTCTAATTTTTTTCTATGTATGTTATCCTATTTTTCTCTCCTTGCTGAGACAGAATACCCAATGCCCAAAGTTAAAGGGAAGACACAGGTTTAGTTAGCTCAGTTTATAGAGGTTTCAGTCCATAATTGACTGGCTTTAAGGCAAGGTGGCACCTAGCAAAGGGGCAACAGTTCATGGTGGCAAAAATAACAAGAGAACAAGACAAGCCTCTTTCTGTCTCTTATACTATGTGCGGGCTATTCCCCCTAGGGCAGTGTAGCACTCATATCCTTAATCCCAGCCTTGGATTGCAAGTCAATCACAAACTCTGAAGTTTGTGATTTTAACCACCTCTGAAAAATCTGTCCCACAAATGCATGAGGCTTTGGGGAGACACAAATCATAACAGATGTGTTACGGTTTCTGTCTCCTTAGCTCATGGAGCTTTGGGAAGCTGGTTGAATTGTGGTGCTTGCCACTGAGTTGCTTTTAGGAGTGAGCCTGCTTAGAGGCTGTTCCTGGGGCTGTATCCTAGACAAGTGCATCTGCCTCCACCTCTCCTTCACTCTCTGCCTCTTGGTCCATGACAAGAGCAACTATTCTAAGCCTGATCCCTCCTGCCATGCTGTTTCTGGTTTTAACCTGTCAAACATGAGCTGAAACTTCTGAACTGTGAGCCAAGATAAGTTGCGGGTATTGGTTGTTATGTCTCAGCAACAAGGGAAGGTGAATGAGACAGCATGGCGAGGGATATGCTGTTATTCCGTAGATATGGTTGCATTGATGCCACCTTTTCAAATCACTGAATCCATTTCTAACAACGTTTTTAATGCTACATGGATTTCCATTAAGCACATATGCTATTACTTTGATTAGACTAATATTAATAATTCTGTTATTCCATGATTTTTGTATCAACTGTAGTGAGATGAGTCCTATAACCAAGGTAAATTACTGTAAGTAAAGTTTCCAGGATAAGTGTTTTTCTCATCTATGAGATTCATTCTATATATGGTACATTAGCTCTTTAATTACCCTGTAGACAAGTTTACATCAATGTGTGAGAATATACATGCCAATACTGAGTGGTACGAATATTTTTAATCTTTGATAAATATTGTAGATAATAGCATAAAAACATCTGAGAGTTTAACATGACGGAACTGTAATTCATATGTCTTGATGTGTGGCTGCTCTGACCACTGATGGTACACACATGACTATCACATAGGGCAGTACAGGGCACTTCACAAGACATTTGTGCATATACCACTAGGGGTTCAAGCCAATAGGAGCATGTTAAGACCCATGCCAGCACTCTTTGAAAAGGACTGGGAAAATTAAGACTTCTTTTTTATATATATATTTTAAGTGATTTTAAACAATGAGTCCACATTTCATCTTATAAATGTGATATATGAATCTCAGAAGCTTTAGGAAATCATTACTTCTGAATAAATGGCAGTATTCTGTTAGCTCTGAGAAAAGGAGCTAAAAAGAAGTATGTTGGTATCAGTCTTCATGGCATGCAATAAAATATAATACTGCAAAAATGAATAATGTGGCAAAATTTTACCCAGTATTACAAATGAAGCAAATACATTTTTTATAAGCCTTCCAAAGCAGAGTACATTTGAGTGTGTTTCTATGAAGATAGCCATAATACAAATAGACAGTTATTTCAGTAAATACTAGTGCAAAGCATAGAGCAGAACACATGTGAAGTAATTTAAATGTGTTCATAGATGTTTAAAGATAAGTATTTTATTTAGTGGTACCAAGCAATCTGCAGACAACAAGTATTGGTGAATTCTAATTGAAAATGGTATCCAGTGACAGCTGTGGCTGTGTAACACACAAGCAGACGTCTCAGGGTGTGCCATAGAGATTGCAATATTCGTCCTCAAATCTGTGTGCTCTTCCCTGCTGCCCGAGCCTTAATCTTGCACTTTGTGATAAGCGTACTTTGTGGGCTTTCAGTTGGGGCTTATACTTTTAACACATACATTTAAAACCACAGCATTTTAAAGGGTCAACCCACCTGTGCTATGTGACCCAGCACTACTTAATTTTGGTTAAAAGAAACCCACGACAAGAAGCACCCTCATTCACATACTTGCACATATGCCCTGACCCATCATAGGCTCCTCCTGGGCCCTTGTGTCGTGTCTTTGTTTCATTTTACCTTCTACCCACACTTAAGGCACCACGGTGTGCATGCATTTTTGGTGAGATATTGTGTTGCAGATGTAGCCTGCCCACATATTTATTAAGGAAGAACATATTTATAAACCTTATGTTTATCATCTGTCTTTTCTCCTAGAAGCCAAGTAGAAGTTTATGATTTTTTAGATGATGTCCTCCTAGTTGAAGGCCATGGTCCCATTATTATTTATGTCCTCATTGTTTATCTCAGTGTTTGAGTTAGCCTAAGAATTACTTCAGTGTACACAACTAATGTTTCCAAACTGGGTTGATTCTTTAGTTTTTCTTTTTGTCTACATATAGAGTCTTCCCCCTTATCCTTTCATTACATATTTCGGCAAAGAATTTAGTTTTTCTGCTTGTTTGTTTTTTGTTTTTGTATTTGTTTTTTTCTTGCAAAAAAAAAAAAAGATAGACTAGCATTCTAAATACAACATCTTGAGTCTTGAAATAACTTGTTTGCCAACTCTTCTCTCTTTGCACGAATCCATTTCCTTTTGTTTTGTCAAAATTCAAATATTTAATGCCTTCCTGGCATCCACTTCTTCCTTAGTCTGATAGTCTCACACCTCATCTGACAGTATTTTCACAGTGTGCATTCACTCCTTGCACCCTCATACTGGTAAGTCTCATGATATCAGACACACTACCTCCTAGTCACTTATCATAATACCTGGCACAACACCTTGCTGAATGTAGTAAGCAATGAATGCTGATTTCTGGTTTCACTGAGGGAGTAAAAGAAAACATGAGCTTATGCAGCAGCAGCATGGACAATGTGGATTGAATGGTACAAGTTTACTAAGGCAAAGAATTGGTGAGTATTTTGCTGGGATGCTATTTCGTAGCAGTAGAGATACTAATAGGTCTAGTGATGGCAGAATGCTATTTTAATGCTTAATACATTAACATATATATAGGAAAGAAAGGGCTAGGAAGGAAATAACCTTCTTGGCACCCTGCTGCTTTATGAGAGGGAGATTATTGGCCATGACTTACTGAGGCACAGAGCTATAGGAAGCCAATAAAAGGCATTTCACAAAGCACCAGGCTGAGTGGATGGAGAGAAGTTACCACTGCAGTTACATGCTTTTTCTCAATACAAGTACTCTCTACAGAGCAGGAATTTGTGTTTGGGATTGAAATCTTTTTAATAAGTGAAAACATTTTGAATCACCCATTGAGTGATGCTGCTTCTTGACAATTTGTGACTTGATCTCTCCTTTAGGGAAAGACACTCCCAGGTCACTTTTCAGTTATTCCCACACAAAGAATCTGCTTCAGAACTGTTACCTGCCCCATCTCTGATTTCTATTTCGTTGGATAATTTAAATCTGTCCTTCTCTTCTAGTCATTATCTCCTCTTTTTTGCCCCAAGAATATCCTACCGAGCTGGCTTATCATCTCTCCAAAGCAGTAAAGTTTCTATTTATAGTCTTCACTTAGGACACATGTCTCTAGTTGAAATCACCAAGGATTAGTGGAAAGGTTCTAAAAAAGATTTGATATGCTGGTATTTCAGAAAGACCTCAGAGATCATGGTGTAGTAATGTCCATTCCGTTTACTGGCTCTATCAATCAGTTTGATTTCGAAGAAAAGGGCAGAGAAATTCAGTGAGTTTTATGGACTAGTCAGTGTTAAAGAATAGTTGGTTCTAAAATGATCAACATGATCCAAACTAGAGTAACTTAATTCTGTGCAATCCTTACTCATCAGTTGGCAAGATATGTATTAGTTGGCCTGATTAGAAAACCTTGTCTCTAGAAATCAGTGACCATGGCCTAAACTAACACTCTGAGGACAAGAAGCAACCATGTGTGAGAAGAGTTGTGTTATTTGACAATACTTTATGGCTTTCTATTCCTCCACCACTTAGGTTCATTTCAGCAAGTAGAGATAATGTGCTTTTTGGCCATAAGCCATCCCAGATCTAAACCCTTCCTGGATGATCCCACTTGGGTAGAGTTACTTCTTAATTTGTTCCTTTAAAGAAAAAAGAATTTTAGTGTCCTATGTGGGAGACACTTTGTGGAGCATTAGAGAACTCTAAGTCAATTTGCAATAAAATTCCTCCCCACCCCAATTCTTTTTTGTCTTTTGCACCCTCCTCCTGCACATTGATGCATATGGTGTACTAGTCCATCAGTGTGTACCTGTGAGATCCCGTACTGGTCAGTTTCCTCCATGGATGACAGTATCTTACCTGGCCTCCTATCAGGATGACCACCTCTGTACTAAATGCTTTGGATTCAAGAGGCAATAAAACCACAGGAGGAGGATGTCTCCCTATGAAAATCTAAGTGCTGTATATGAAAAATGAACTTGTTTTCATAAACATCATAAACCATTTTGGAGACATAGAATATTTGGGGCATTTGAGGGAGAAGACAGAGGAGGCTGCTGCTAGCGGCACTGAATCTGGGAAACATCAGTATTTAAAGTCAGATGGAGGAGGAGGGGGCCAAGAAATGGGGAAAATCTAAAGGTGATTTCACAGAAACCCAAAATAGGGTATTTCCTGGAGTGGTAGAGGTCGTGTGTGT